ATAATAATTGTAATATTCCAGTTATAAACGACATGAATCAAAGATGTGTTGCTGTATTTTAGTGGTAAAAAAATCCATTCATCATCATAATTATTCTATATATATAATTTACACAGTGCCTGTTAACCGGAGGAGAACGCTGGCATTTCTCCTCCTACTTGAAAGACTACGGAGGGATAGGGTCTGCAAAATTAGTTTGTGTGTGTATATATATAGGTCTATATAGCTCTGAACGTTCCACTTCCTGCCTGCCCGACCTTACGTTACAGCTGCGCCGCGACAAAAATAGGATTCGATCCTAATTTTAGAGGAGCCCTGCGCCGAGACGCTTCTGGGACACTTCTGAGCCGTAACGTGCCGCATGTGGTGGAATAGCACCCATTGACTAGAGTGGCCGCGATCGCCGTGAGCACCGCGGCGCAGCCGTAACGCGCCCGTAACGCGCCGCAGACGGACCCGGTGGAATCTAGGGGAGCCATAAGATCGATTTTAAATCATTAACATCTATATTGAGACTCAAGTCATTTGTTTATTTAGTACCTAAACGTTCCTGAAGACATTGTTCCAGCATACTTTGGAGTAGCCTTTGCATCACTTTGTTTGATAGACTATATTTATACACTTTAGCTCCATGTTATTGTATTATGTAACTCAATTTTCCCTAAGAAAACTGTAGCATTTTGTGGAGATAAAGTCTCGCTGAGCAGCCGAGCAGCCGAGCAGCCGAGCAGCCGAGCAGCCGAGCAACCGCGCAGCCGCGCAGCCGCGCAGCCGCGCAGCCGAGCAGCCGCGCCTGCTGTATATATAATACTTTTGGGCGAATAAGGTACATTTCTTCAGTGAGCAGATGATTGATGTGTGTTTCTGTTCGCACACACACACCCACACACACACCCCCACACACACACACACACACACACACACACACACACACACACACACACACACACACACACACACACACACACACACACACACACACACACACACACACACACACACACACACACACACACACACACACACACACACACACACACACACACACACACACACACACACACACACACAGTGATTTATTCTGCTGTAAGTGTACACGTCTGGCAGTGACACACAGTCCAGTAGCTCTACATATCTTAATAGATATCTCTGTACCATGTTCACTGTCCCGCACCAAATGTAATTAGTTTCCACAAACAGCTCATAGTTGACACAGTCCAAATTGTTTTCCTTATCTGTGCAGCAGTGTCAGTTGCACAGCGATGCTTCCGATTCTCCCACGTTCAGCGGCCAAAATAAATGTTGATGAGTGCAGAGGAATACATCTAGCTTCATTATTTCTGAGAGATACATTTCCCTCCGAGGCATCAACAGGTGAGAGTGTGAGGGGATGCATCTCACGCGATCAGATTAACGCTTTGTTTGAGTGTGATATTCAAATCATTCCTCCTAAAGACATGAGTGGCTGGTTAAAAGCGTCCTGCAAATCATTCTAAGAGCGCTGGACCTGCTATCAGTGCTAAAGGAAATCTGCCTGCTTTAAAAAGCGACATCACTATGTAACGCACTTCTATTGGCTAGTTTTACATTACATTACATTACATCACATCACATGACATGACATTACATTACATGTCACTTGTTAGATGCTTTTATCCAAAGCGACTTACATACTCAATACTGTGGGCAATCCCCACAGGAGCAATTTGGGGTGAAGTGTCTCAGGGACACAACGACATGCTGACTGCAGTGGGGTTTGAACCTCTGACCCCCTGATCCGAACACATGCGCACAACCCACCGCGCCACACGCCGCAGTATTGTGTTCTATTGGCTCCAACATATTGTACGTGATAGGCTAAGGGGCGGGACATCTAATAAGCGGTTGACCAATCACAACAGAGCCGGCCAGCTAACCAAACAGAGGGCTCCGGTTTCAGACAGAGGGTGAAAAGAGGTCACATTCTGTCTTTAAGAGATGATGATGGATTGTGTAAACAAATCCCAGGAACAGCCGAAACCAACAATAATTGTGTCCGTCAATACTTTCCTAATGTATGCATCCTGTGTTTTGACCTCTGTCCCAAACCCATGAAGATCTGATTTTATTAAATACAATATGCTAATGTGTTCAGTGTACGAGGGATTTTGTGCATTTTGTGCATTTGTTAGGGACTATTTTCAGCTGCGCATTGATACACATGTCTTTCTTACAGGTTTAAAGCATCAGAACGCTGAATCTTTGATTGAGTGACAATAAACTACAATGTACATTTTAATTTATCCAGTGCATTTGTGCAGATCATGTACATGTCTAACATTGTCTGAACAAAATGGAGCTCTATGGTCCAGAGGAATAACATATCAGGCTTGAGAACAGTTTGTGTGATGAGTTCATTGTTGGTTTATGGTCTGTTTTATGGGGTTTGGTGATGATAACAAAGAGTACAGAACATCACCAGACGTGTCCTTTAAGATAAGATATGAGGTTCTCTTTATATTTTGTCAATACAACAGTAACAATATTTTCCCATTCGGATCCATGACAACATGCCATATATATATATATATATATATATATATATATATATATATATATCAAGGTTCAAGGTTCTTTATTTTGTCATATGAACATAGCTACAGTGTAGTTATGCCGATGAAATTCTTAGGTCACAGGTTTCTCCAACAGAGCAACACAATTACATTACATGTTACTTGTTTGACGCTTTTATCCAAAGCGACTTACATACTCAATACTGTGGACAATCCCCACAGGAGCAATTTGGGGTGAAGTGTCTCAGGGACACAACGACATGCTGACTGCAGTGGGGTTTGAACCTGCTATCCTCTGATTCGAAGATCAGCGCACTAAAGCACTGAGCCACAGCCTCCCAATAACACAGATAAACAGAAAAGTATAGTGCAAGTAAATAGTAAATAGTAAATAGTAAATACAAAAGAAAAATAGTTTAAAAAAGTGAAATAGTGAAATAAGAGTCTATATGCAAGTTATTGGAATGATATATTAGAGAAATAGATAAATAATGACTAAGTAGCAGATGAATGTTATGGATGTTGTTTCAACAGTTCAGTTGTTTAGCAGTCTTATTGCCTGTGGGATGAAACTGTCTCTGAATCTGGTTGCTTTAGTCCGGATGCTGCGGTAACGCCTGCCAGACGGCAGCAGACAGAACAGTTTGTGGCTGGGGTGATGGGGGTCTTTTATAATCCGGAAGGATTTCTTCCTGATATATATATATATATATGTTAAATGGTATAGAAATGAATCTGACTGATGTTCAATGTACTGTAATGAATTGTGTTATACTGTTTTTTTAGATGATCACAAGTCTGCAAATGTGTAAATCGCCCCCTCAGAAACTCAGTCTGTTAGTTTATAATTACCTGCCTGCACATTTGGTAACGTTTTATCACAATTCTGATATGACCAATTTCAATGTATAGGTTCACCATACTACTTCACAATATTGTTTTTTTATTTTGTAATTTGGGCTTTGCAGTCAGCAAGAAATATCAGATGTTCTGCAAAACAATTTTTTTTTCTCCATTGCATTAATCAAATAAATCCAATCAGTGTCAACATTTCGGTTCTGTCCCACTTTAAGCCTCACTATAGCATGCATTCAAATACTCCATTCCTGTATATTTGACAGTGCACGTCTGACTGTTCCCTGTTCTCTTCCCTGTTAACAGTATGATAATGCATGCAGCCCTGTTTCCTGACAGAGGAGCAGCAGTGAATAACCACTTCACACGACATGAATATTACAATGGCTCTCGTTGCTGTAGCCTGGAAACAACAGTGGCTCCTCACTCTCTGCTCGTCCCTCTTTAAGTGTTGCCTGGCAAACTGGAGGACAGGCCGGGTGCATTAGTTCCCCCAGAATACAAAGTCCTCTTCCTCTAAAACACTGTGTGACTTCTTCAATAATGGAGGAACTGTTCTCAGTGTGACCTCTGCGGAAAGGAGAGAAGTTCGTTTTAAATGTCCTGCCACTTCGTTTTAACCGTTTGGACAGTTAATTGAATGCAATGAACTCCAGCTTCATCAGGATTCAAATGCAGGTGGAATGTGGTTTGACTGTGAAGAGTAAAACGGAGAGAAACTCATTGCTCCTAGACTGCCTGAAATACATCTTTATGACGCAAATGCATCATCGTAAGTCGCGTCAAACTGATGTAATACACAACTCCTTTTAGGGGGGGTCATTACAAGTAAAGGCAGTTCTGGATATTTGATTTACCGTGCAGGTTTGTGATTTCTCTCGATCACCAGCTTTCACTAAACCCATCTATCCTTTACAAGCACTTGTTGTGAAGCCACTTGTTTGCAGCCAAACTCTAAGCGATCTAATCCTAACCTTATGAATACACATTTGGAGGCTAAATAACATGTAAGAAGTGATCCAGGATCGGTTTAGGTGGCATCACTTGATAAACTCTCCGAACTCCTGAACCCGTTGGAGCTGTCCCTTCAGCACCACAGAGCCTCGTCATCCTCCACATCTCCTCTCTGCTCGCTTTAATAGTGAATCTCGGCGTGTCTTACCCCCGAAACTCGTTTTACTGTCAGCCTAAGAGCTGCATCTCATTTACGCAGCGTCAAAGTTGAATAATTACGCACTACAGCTGCACCAAAGGAAATTATACATGTGTTTTAACAGTCTTCTGAGAGCGTTACGTCATTCGTCAGTGTTAGTTAGTATGAGAAACATCATGTGGTGGTGTTTCAGACAAAGCTCCAGCTCCCCTCAGAGCAGCGACTGCAACATGTTGCGTAAAAACTTTATCCTAAGACTTATAGAAATGTGAAAATGTGCTTTCACCTTATTATTACTGCCTATGGGTCGTTTTGCTGCCATGGAACTGTTAATGTCCTCATAATAAACCACGTCCTGTTGCGCAACAGCGATATAACACCACCTGTAGTGGTTATGGGGTTTTGCTTTAAGAGACTTACCAAAAGAGACTCACACTTACCTATGGTGGTTATCACCGTGATGGCAAAGTAAAATGACCCTGCGAATTTCCACTGCACCCCGGCTCTGTGGGGCTCTGACTCCATGATGATGGTCTCCAGTTTGCGGTAATCATCCTCGCTGATGTTATATTTCCCCTGGAGACGCTTCTCCTCGGCTTCCAGCTGCTCCTTCTCCCGCATCTCGAAGTCGGACTCCAGGGCGTCAAAGACCGCGGCCCCGACGAGCAGGTATGTGAACGTGCAGATGATCAGGGACAAGGTCCGCACGTTTTGCCGCTTCATGGCCAACAGGAACCGGCGACCGAGGGGCTCATGTCCCCTCGGATTCCCCGGGAAGACGCAGCAAGCGTGGGGAAAACTGTGTGGACAGCGCCTGGAGGAGGAGGCGCAGAAAGGTGCGCTCCCGTGACCGCGGTAGAAATCCCCCCCTGCCTTGTAGTGACAGAAGCCCAGATCCTGCTCCTGGTTCGCGGAGAGACACAACAGACTGCTCGATCGCCTGGACCAGGAGCCCTGCAGCCGAAAGACCCTGCGCAAGACCTGCCCAAACCAAGTCCTCCCGGTGCGCAGTGCCATCAACAAGCTGCTTCCCAGATCGCCTGTTGGTCTCTGCGCTCCACAAGTGAACTAAACAGACGTGAATAAAAAATGTTCCATGAAGATCAGTGACAGATCCTTTTGTTCTTTGATGCTCCACTCACTCTGATTTAAAATGTCCTGCAACGAGACATTACTCTTAAGTTTTAGCCAAACACCAACCTGTTCATTGTAGCCTCATCAGCATGCAGGCTATTTTTAGCAGCACATTCCCGATATAGAGAAGGAACAAAATCCAGTTTCAGTGAAATCCTTAAATCTTCCTCGCTAACAGTGGAGGACATCCTCATTAGAAATGTGCTGAGTCGTCAAAAAGACACAGGCAGGGTCACAGAGTACCGCGGAGGAACATCAAGTTGGGAAACTCACACAGATAAAAACATCACAGCGTTTTACTCCTCTCATCCGCTGCTTTATCCCAGGATCACCACTTGTTAGATGGGTTTAAAAATAAAAATCCAAACATGCAACGTCGAGAACAAGCTCCATGGCAAAGACGTTTCCCCGAATTGATGAATATAAAATGATTATTAGCAGAGAAAGATACTTTAAAGCGAGCCACAGCGCGCTCCGTGCCCGCAGTGGCACTCATGCTCCGTTGCGCACATCCAAAGCTCTCCCGCACTGATGACTGGAAACTGATTTAAAAATGATGAAGAAATAGAAAACAGGAATACATGTGTCCCCTGGTCGCGCGGGGGCCTCAGATCTAACCATGCGTGTCACGAAATGCTCGTATTGTGAAGGCTCCACATCTTATGCTCACTCCAGACTGTGGTCGGTGGGCGTCGCTCCGGCTGTCTCCGAGCCTTTCTCTTTCTCCAAGTGTCACGATGCATCTAGCATTCTGGCCTGAGTTTCTGTCTACACTTTGAGGCTTCTTTCTTCTAACGGGGAATCTGTTGCTGCAGGGGAACAACTGATTTCACCCCCCCCCCCCCCCCCCCTTTCTCTCGACCTCTCACAGTGACCACTCCTCCTCAGAAGATGGACTTTGACTCTAATGGTCACATCAGTGCGTTTTACGAGATGATACGATAATACTTGAATGGTCAGATCAAGTCTGAAATGTGACTTGCATCACAGCAGCTCCATGTGTAACATCAACAGATGTGTAATATCAAGAGACAGCACGTGGAAATCAAACAACAAACATTTAACACAACAGCACAATGACTGAGAGAAAGCATTTTCAAAGAGCCTTTAGCGTGCATCTGATCTGCGTTTTACGTGCAGGATTCAGAGAGCAGTCGCTGTCCGAGGTGTTGAAGCAGACTGATGCTCAGTGTATCTCAAAGTTACTGGACACTGTGAGGAAGCATGCAACAGGGTGGAAAACATATAGATTTGTATAGGCTGGAAACAGAATGGAGAAAAGTACTCAGGTCTGGTATCCAAGTCACCGTTTCAAAGGTTTGATTGTTCATATATGCTCAATACCTACAACTGCAATGATCATCTCATCTCATGAAACAGGCTTAGCTAACCATGCAACAAAAAGTATTCTTATATAAAAGAAAGAAATACATAAAATACTGTAAAAAAGTGTAATAGAGAAAATGGAGCTTTAAGAAAAATAGGTACAAGTACATAGGATAAATACTGTATGCTGTATTCATGTATACATATTTGAATATGAGACGCATTAACGGATGTGCAAATGTTCCTTTGCATTGTTACTTTAATGAAAGTATTAACATCAGCATGTCCAATACTCATTCTGCAGATTGGCGCAATTCATACACAAACATGTTATTATGTAATTATTGCATTGATGCATTTTTCACTTAAAGCTCCCATGTCATGCTTTTCCGGTTATTACCCGTCCCCTTGTGTGTTATGAAGGTTTTTATGCATGTAAACGGTGTGCAGAGTCAAAACCCTCAAAGTACACCCTGTAGCGAGTAAAACTCTAACACAGAAAATACCTCCCCAAAACGCCTCGTTGGAGATACGTCACTGCCCATTTGAGTCTTCCATTTAGTTCCGGGTACCGCCTGATGTCATGCGGTACCCGGAACGAAATGGACCAATCCCGAAGAGCTATGGCCACACCAGCAGCGGCGTGTTCCTCCTCCAGAGGTTCGAAGAACCGGCATTTCACAGACGAAAGCTTCCAAAAACATTGCCCAGTTTGAGGCCGGATATGCACAGCTTGTTTGGACCGTTTGGAGCAGGGGAAGATCTGGGTATACAACCTGTAAGTTTGCATTGTTATTTGTGTATTTATCAAACAAGACTGTTTAAATGTGTAAACTGTGTTGGACTGCTAAGCCATTGACACAGTGCTAACTGTGCTAACTAAGTTGCTAGAGTTTCCATATATCAACTCTAATATCAGCAGATGGCCTTGCATACATGTATCTCATAGCAGGAGAATGTCTGCATTCACACACAAAATACCTATTGACAGTATACTGCGGGTGATTTGCCGGTCAGTCGCGAAACGTAATTACATTATAGCTGGCGTAGCGATCTAACACACGGAGCTTGAGCTAGTTTTGGTCAGAAAAACATTTTTGTGATGCTACGTTGCTAGCGTTTAAATATATCAACTACAATGTCAGCAGATGGCCTTACATGTTTGTCATGGCAGGAGAATGTCTGCAGTCACACACACGGAATACTCATACAGTATACTCCGGTTTACCGTACATTGTGACCGTACATATACTGCATGTAGCTAACGAGGCTAGCTGTATGCTAGCGCAAAACAATGTATTCATGCAAGTTACATTGTATGGTAGCAGAATACCCGTATACGATTGCAATTATAAACACGTTATTGCTAGCCTAATATGAACCACTAGCTTTTGTTCATAGTAGTTTTATTACACTGCATTATAGTTGCCTTTCCTCCAAGCTAACGTTCATATCGTGTTAGCTACCAAGGTAAACAAAGCTAGGTTAGCATATTAGCAGGCAAGCTGTTCATTACACAACTACTACTAACGAATCTAAAACAACTAAGTTTCTCTAATATTTTGTGATTTGCATTTGATTTCGTCCAGCCAGATCCTGGCGGACAATCCATGACGTGCTAAAAGGCACTTCTACTACTACTGAGGCGTCGTGCTAAAAGGCACCGCACCGACTGTGCGCAGGCAAGATGCGAGGAGGAGGAATGGATGATATACCGTGTGTATATGTATATTTATGTTCATTTTGTACATTTCTAAAAATAAAGTTTAATGGAAATACTTAGTAGGCCTATCCTTTCTTCCCTGAATTCATATATAGCAAACCATGATTTGATTTCTCATCAAACAGTAGTAGTTTATAACGGGTAAAAATAACTTACTCTTTGTTATGAGAGTAGCTCGTAGGCCACAACGGAAAGACAAGGAGACATACACGAGTTTACAAAACCACGGCACATTTATTGTGGTAAATGCAAAGATAGGTGGTTGAGAGGATCGCAGAGTTAGTCTTCCTGCAGCCGCTTTGGAGAGAGACTGGGGCCGTAGTGTCCGGAGGTGTCCGTGATCGTGCTGATTAGCTTCTTCAGCTCCACCGTAAGACAAAGGCCCTGGGGCCGTCACACTCTTCTATAACAACAGTTAAAAATATATATGTATATAAAATATACCGCTGTACCGACGCCATGATAAGACTGATGTTACGCTGAGAGCAGCCGGGAAAAGCACTGACATGGGCGCAGCCTCTCTGGTGGTTGACTAATCAGAACGAGTGGCCGAGCTGACCAATCGGAGCACACTAGGCTCACAGGGAGGGGGGGGCAAGAGCTCCAACGAGTCGTTTAGTGGAGAAAGTGAATACTGCTGAATACACATGCTTGACAGAGATGCTGTATGCGAAACCAATGTGAGTTTGGAAAATTGCACAGTATAAATCTATTTTAGTATACCTCAACAATGTAATTATGATCAGTGGAAATGGCCATGACATGGGCCCTTTAAGTGTTGCAGCTGGTAAGGGAGGAATGCTTTATAAACTATACTGCTGCAAACAGTAGCTTGCGCGTTTCCTAGAGGGATCAGAGGGACTCTTGAATAACTCATACATTATTTATTTATTGATTTTAGATACACTAACACATTCTTCTAAATAACTAAATCAGTCACATACATGTAGTAGAGCAGGGGTATTCAACTAAAATTCAACGAGGTCCAGTTAGAGAAAATCTCCCCATGCAAAGGTCCGGAAGATCAAAATATCTAACTTGCTTTATGAATTAGTGTGATATATATTGAAGTAGCCTGTAGCTGTATCAACGTCTGCATGTAATCAACAACTGACTGCCAATCAGATAAAGAAAGTACAATTCAAAAACAACAATATTTATTGTCAATTAACATTGAACTATACAGATATACAGTAAATACTGTGGATATGTGTAATGTTCCTCTCGGGCTGCATTTAAAAATAAAATAGAGAAATAAATAAAATAGCTTTGTTAACCATTTCACATCATGACTTAACAGTTTCAGACGATTATAGAACATATCAGTCTTTACACATCATAACAATTGAACAGTTTTAAAGTTTCTCTTTCTTTCCCTCTTATATTGCAGTCCCTCACTCACTTTTCTTTAATTCAGTGCGAGAATTGAGCTTGAGCTTGTCCTGCCAGGAGTTTAAATCTGGGCTGAAATGGTGTCAGGGCCATTCTCATACACACATGCAGGTGCTCATTGGTTAGCCTCGGTTAGCCTCGGTTAGCCTCGGTTAGCCTGCCC